AAACAGTCAGTCAGACCTGTTAAACAGTCAGACCTGTTAAACAGTCAGACCTGTTGAAACAGTCAGACCTGTTGAAACAGTCAGACCTGTTAAACAGTCAGACCTGTTAAACAGTCAGACCTGTTAAAACAGTCAGTCAGACCTGTTAATTGGACCTGTGATTGTTTTAAACAGTCAGTCAGACCTGGTCAGGTGTGCAGGACCTTACCTTGCAGTATTTCTTCATACAGAGCGTGGACTCCTTCAGGGATGATGACAGCCAGGGCAGTCCCACAGAGCAGCCCTGCTCCCAGCACAGTCACCAGCTTCAGCTTGTCCTGGACACACACTGCTGTTTACACAACACACACTGAACAACACCAACACACACAAGGCTCTGCTTGGTAACAACTCACCTCTGAGAAGTTGACAGCTAAAGGGATTGTCCCGGCCACATAACAGCCCACCAACATCGCCAGTGACAGCAGGCTGATCGAGCTGAAATCATCCATTATTGCACCTTTTCTCTTTAGGCTAATACAGCTAATGCTAAACCATCAAACACACACTGCGCCTACACGTCTGACACACAACCTGGAGCTGATCAGGTCCAACAGCATGCCCTGAAACACGCCTGGGACGAGCTTTAGTTCATCTAATAACCGTCACAAGCTTCCTCCTGGTGTCTGCTCCCAAACATGAACTACCCGCTGCAGGCTGCGGCCTGCTTAGCTATGCTAAGCTAACTAGCTTCGGTGTTTCTTCGATAATCGCGCTTCACAAACAAAGAGTTCCGCCGTGTTATCCTGGCCTTGTACGACTGATTTACTCTGAATTATACACAAGTCACCCACTAAACGTTGCTGTTAAAAAACCAGACCGCAACTTTCCGACTTGGTGAGCCGCAAACAGAACTGTGACAGAACCGGAAGAACTGCTTAGTACTTCCGGTTCAGGTCTTCACTCAGCATGCCACGTATCTGCGGAACGCGTTGGAGGGACGAAGATTGATTTATTACTGCTCGAAAAACAAAACTTTATAT